ACCAATGGATCATTATTTTTCACATAGGGCATAAAGGTAACCTTAAAAATTTTTCAAGGAATATCTTGAATATTTGAATATTTTTTTCAAGAAGCCCTGAATTGCAATGATGTAAATGCTAAATCATATAGCTATTCTTGAAATGAAAAGAGTAAGCTGATGAGGCTTTCCCCCTCACTGCCTATACATATTTTATCAGGCAAAGAATGGCTGAATATTGGTCTACTTAATGACTCTCTCTTCTGATTGGCAACAGCACTTTTACAAACCCTGTATTTTCAGATTGGATGCTAAATGAAACCTTGATCCTTGAACCGATGTATATGCTGGATTAAAAAATTATTTTTTCCCTCTTCTATGCTTATTGTGTATGAATATTTCCACATTTACTCTTGAAAAGCCACTTGTTCCTGAGATGAATATTCTAATAGATTTGCAGTCCCTTCATACAAGTAAAACTCTATTCCAATTAAATTGTAGGGAGAAAAAAAAAAAAAGAAATATGACTCGTCCACATTCCAGAGAGGCCAATATGAGTAGAAATTTAGGCTGGGGGTACATAGCTCTGTTGTCTGATATTCATATCAATATTGTTCACACTCCAGTCCTTTTCTAAGAGCATACAACAGAATGTGATCCAAGCTAGTTCAGAAGGTACAGGTGAGCATTATGATGACTATCGAAGGTTGTTATGATGAAGACTGATATATGAATGTGAAAATGGGAATATATTTATTCTTGTGTGTGCAGAAGTAGCCTTCTGTATGCAAATCTTCTTTCCTGGATCAGAATAATTAGGTGTACTGGTACTGTTAATTAAAGCTGCAATTTTGTACCCACTTTCCTGGGAGTAAGTGCAACATCTGCTTCTTTTCTAATATGCTAATTTGTGAGTGCTAATTAAGGATGCTAATTAGTGAATAAAGAAATGAAATCTTTTGCTTAGAGTTCTGCATATTTCAGGAACAAAGCATTCAGGAAGCACTATCTAACTCTTCCCTTATTTAATGGATAAGTGCTTTGCATGATCTTATGCAAGACATAATTAAAGAGAAATTCCAAGGCAATTGGCTTTGATTACAACTTGTAACAATAGAAACATTGGCCTGTAAGTGATAAGGGCAGTGCAAGGCATTTGAAAGAGGGACTTTGTACTACAGGGGTGTGTAAATGAAGCTCCTCTCCTTGAATCATTGAAGCAACTGCGCCTTTCAAAAGGCTTGTTTGGTTGTTTCAAAAACCAGTCTGGTTTCAGTCGTCTCTAGAACCAGCTCCACTCCCATTGCAAGTAGAAACCATTGCCCATGGACTCTTAGCTTCTGATCCGGTGACCCCCAGGACAGTGGTGCTGTGCCTGACAATTGGGGAGCATTGAGAACTGCTCCACCTCTACATGGCCAAAGACCACCTGCATTGTTGCACAACCCCTTTCAAATGCTTTCACTGGCCCAATAAATGACTTCTCAAAGCTGTAGAGATGCCATATTTTTGGTAAGCACTGAAAGATCGATCTGTCTGTCTGTCTGTCTGTCTGTCTGTCTATATCTATCTATCTATCTATCTATCTATCTATCTATCTATCTATCTATCTATATCTATCTCTAACATCTATCTATCTGTTGCTTTAATAGAAAGTAGGTTCACCTTTTCATGTTACAATGATGAAGGGAAAATAGTCATTATCCACCACAATTCCCTTTCTGCAGAAAGGGCCAGAAGACCTCCTCTCTGAATCAGATCACTATTGGACACAAATAACAACAGCAAGAGAACCCAGACTTCTTGATAAACATGTGATTTCCATAGGTCGATAGATGAGAAACAGAGAAAGAGATGCACAATTCAGGGATACCTGTGGACATCATTCAATACATATTATGAAAAATATACTCCTGAAAGAACATTATTTTGTTCATTTTTCAAATCTTCTGTCCTTAAGAAACATTAAAGTTCTTACAAACTTCATATAGAATCTTGATTTTTCTTAAATGAGCAAAATCTTTCCATTGGTTTTGAGCATCTCTTATAGTAGACACATGAATTTAAAAAAAATAAAAGAGGACAACATTAAATTGTGCTATGTAGTTCAATAGCTCAGCAAGCGGGAAAAAGCATGGTGTTGGTGGAGGGAGGGAAGTAGGATTTAAACATCATTAGATATGTTCTTACATTAGTGTGACTCAGTTGCAATCTTTTGGATGGGAGATGAGAATTCAGGGATGACAATGAATTGAGGCAGGTGTTTATTTGCTGCCATTGAACTCATACCTTGGGGCGAGATGTCTTAGAAGCATCTGATTTATTATTATTACTATATACATTATCTTTATTCTAATTTTTGTAACCCATTTCTGTTACTTTTAAACCTTCCCTTTCACAACATAGTCCAACTTAAATATGATTAAAGACAATTTTTCAATAGAATTAGTTTGTCTTAGGCCTTATATGGGTGGTTTCATTTTTATAACTCTGTAAATGACTGTAGCTACCATAGTGTGTGTATCTGGCTTCTTTCAGTCCAACTGTGCTAGCAAAGGGTTAATACTAGGCATGTGCAAAATCTACCATTTCTCCTCCAGGTCAACATCTGGAAAAAACACATCTGAAATGGACAAGTCAGCCCTGTCAAAAGTTGTTCTTGGCTTATGCAGATTTATACTATTGGAGCCACTTGTAGCATATGATAACAAGCCCACAATTCAGCAGCTTGAGAATACTGTTTTCTGATTTTTAAATGCTAATTTCAAATCCTCTGAACATTTCAGAAAAACTGACATCATCTAATGGAGATTCAGAAGCTGGAAGAAGGTATTTTGCTAGTTCATCAGGAAATGTATGCTTGACCACTGTGGCTGAAAATCATGATTAGCAAGTGCACAGCAGCACCACAGCATTGCATGTTGCAGTTTAATGGGAATTACAAACTTACTGTGACCTGTGGCCTGGAATGAGCTACCATTTGGGTCCTCCTATACTCTACCAGCTGTTGAGATTACAGATTTAGTTAAAGCCAATATGACATAGCACGCCTGAAATCTCAGTAAACAGCCATGGCGGTAGTAACTGTTATATGAAAGCAATTAATATGGAAAATATTATATATGTACTGTATATACATATATACATATATGTGTGTGTATGTATGTGTATTTAATATACTATATGCTATACAATGAATTTTATTGCTGTTATATCTACAGATTCTAGCAATAGATCAGTCCACTCTTGAACTCCTACTGCTATTTCTCTACACATTAGATTGTTTACCACGTCATGGTTCTCTTCAAACTTTGCTTTTTGGGGGGCATGTAGTGTTGTCCTTCTGCTATTTTAACTTCTGCTAAATGGATTCATATAAAACATGTTAAATAGCATGATAAATATACTCTTAATACTTCCTTGGTAGTCTTAGGAAGATGTTGCTTTATTGATGAATGCAATTATCACTCTGCTTCTTCAGCTGATATGGCGTGTTGCACTCAATCTAAAGTAGTGCTGAAACCTATGGCTAAAATGGTTAATACGACATTTGGGATGGAAAAGAGAAAACACAGATTAACCAAATTCATGTATAATGTATTTCTGGTTCCTTTGACAGACCATTCCAAAAACTCTCACCACATTATTGTTTGAAACAAAAGAAGAAAAAAATTACACACAAACACTCTGACATTCAGAACCTTAATTAGTCACTCTGTTTTGATGCTGAAATGTTTTGGTAAGCCAGCAAAATGAAAACATGGCTTCAGGTTTCTTTTCTTTTTCGGGAAACGTGACAACACAGATTAATGCTGAACAGATTTATGGAGCTTCCTGAAGTTTATCACACAACTGTCGTGTGAGATCCAAATGGATAATCCTAGAATCATCTTAGCTGCGTTCAGTCGGTAGCCATCATTCCCTGCCACCATGGTGGTGGGAGAACACATTGATCTAACTGAGGACCTGTTGCAGAGCCTTGTTGACTCTACTGATGGAACATGGCACCATGATTATTGCAATTCTAGCTTTAGGTTTATGTCCCAGGGCCTCCCATAGCTTTTACTTGAAACACTTTATATTTAGAAAACAAAATTAAGAGAACGAGTCAAATCATGTGAGCGCCTGGTCCTGAGAGCCTTCATCCCTGGAGCTAGGCTCCTCAGGGCTGCTATAACAAAATAATGTCTATCTTGGTCAGATTTACTCTGGAACAAGAGGTGGCCTGGCATTGGTGGCCCCACCCTCTTTTCTTCTCTTGTCTTTTAGTCAGTGCTCCTGCTGCAGGAGTCTGTGTAGGCCCAGGATCCCTTGGAGGGCTACACCAGTGATGCCACTTCTAGTCATAACTCTGTGATTTCTAGTGGGCTCTCCATGATCACTTCTCTCATCTTGTGCATAGGGGTGGATTTGGCAGACTCAGTGCGAGCGTTTCTGTCACAGTAGGGCCCACCTTCAGCAGTCAGTGTCTCTAAGGAGCGAGCCAGTATTTTCTGGTCATCCTCAGGAAGGCTGTTGAAGTCTGAGGTTAGGAGTGTGCCTGTGCTCCCGTGGACCACGTGGATCCCATCGGGCCCCTTGAGCTCAATGGGCTGCTGATGCCGAAAGCGAAGACTCCCTTGACTGGGGCTCCTTTGCTCCTCCTCCTCCTCATCCAAATCATTCTGGATCAGCTAGAAAAAGACCAGGATGAAATCAACACATCACATATTTTGTTTTTTCTCCAGCTAATTCTAATCCACAGCAATCGGGGCTTAAATTTCTGAAGTTGGTTTATGAAACAGCCAGGAGCAGTATAGGACCCAGCAGTGTAAGCTCTATATTGAATTTCCCAAAGAGTGAAGCACCTGTATTCCACAGATGTTTGCTGAATTAGCCCTCATGCCATCACGTTGGCTCAAGCTGCTGGCAATTCGATTTTGGCTGTATCCAATGGGACACAGTCTCGCTATCCTTCATCTAGATCCTAGGTAGATATTTTGGCATCTCCCCAAATACATATCCAATCTTTTTTGGGCTATAATTCCCACAGTCCTTTGTCACAACTGATTGGGATTGCTGGGTGGTGAGATCCAAAGTATGTGAACATCAGCAGGTTGCATAAATATCTCTGGGAAAAGGCAGGCTACAGCTCCAGTCAACTGGGGTGTAAAAGGTATTTGTTTCTGACTAATGTGGTTTCTTTTTAATTTTGGCATTTTAGCATGGCAGACAAAAAACTCTGGATAGTGTGGTAATTAATGGTATGCCAAACCCAAAAAAAAAAAGGGGGGGTGAACAGCATTTCACCTATGCAAATGAAGATTGTTAAGAATTCTTGTCTTCAATAGATTAGAAATAAAGAAAAATGGTATTTGACAAAAACTATAATGTAGCACACAATTATCAGATTGTCCCTACTGTGTACTTGACCTTAGAGGGCAAGGAGAATATTATTTGGCCCACTTTAATATGTTAATCAGAATATAATTATTCTTTGGGCTGATACTTCTCTGATTTTTGGGATACAGTTTGTGGCTCAAAAGTCATATAAATACATATATGAAGGAAGTTGTGCAAATATGTATGTGTTTGAAGAGGCCAGACTGATGCTGACACTGGATGGAATTCATATGAAACTGACATGGAAGGTGTACATAGGCTGACTTGGCTCAATATAAAGTCAAAAACGGCAACAACAACAACAACAATTTCTTAAACTTGTATGCTGCCTGACTCTCACTGGCTCTGGGCGGCTCACAACAATCAAGCAAAGAAATTACAATAAAATCAACAAAAGATAAAAGATAAAGATAGAAGATAAAAGATGGCAAGCATGACAGAGATGGAATAAAGATATGGCAGAAGAGAAATAGACCGCACTCTGTAAAATTATTATCTGACTATAATCCATTGGAATAATAAAGTTTCAATATGTTTAAGAAAGTTTAATATTAAGTCAATGAGTAAGGGAGGTTTAGGGGAGAAACTATTTTTTTTTCTCTTGGAATTTGCCATCCTTACTACGTTCTTCCTAAAATGAAATGATGATAAATTGTCTCCCTATATCTACTCTACCCATTTCTCCAACAGATTCCTCCGTTTTGATTTCAAACAAAATGAAACAGATTTGCCCTTACAGTTACATTTTCTGCGGCTCATGGCAATCTCACAACTTCACCTTTCAGAACTGTCTTTCCTCTTAATTTCCTGACAGCCAAGTGGCTCCTTCCCAACTGTCATACGAATGAGAGAACGACAATTTTCTTTATGGATTACCAATGCAGAGTTTCTTCTGTCTGTCTTAGCTATGCATTCATGCTCTTTTTGAAGGCGAGCTCCCTTGCTTGGTTGTGCAGCAACCAAACAAGCAAGAAATTCTGAAGAAGTACTTAAATTATTGTAGGAATACGCATTAACATGTTCTGGTAGGTTAAGTGCCAAGAAGCTGGGACATAAAATGCCAATTGCATTGGCATCAGTGCAGGCAGAGAGCACCTCTTTCACTGTTTTCAGGGTTGCCTGTGTGGGGAGAGGTGTCCAAAAAGTAAAAATGGCAGATGGGACCCCCTGATCAAAGCCCTGCCCACTCCCTTTTTACATCTGACATGCATGTGATCCATATAAAAAAGCTTTGATCATATAGCCACAGCCACCATCTTAAATTTTTTGACATTCCTCCCACCCTTGGGCTTTTTTTTATTAAACCTTTGTTCTTGGACATCTTAGAGCTCCAGAGAGAAATAGCTGCAAGTGTCATATAATAGGTTCAGAAGGATTCAGCTCTGAAAAACAGACAGTCCATCCCAGAGGGGCACCACAAGCATTTTCATGAACCCCATGCACACACAGACTCTACCTCAGAGACTGAGGACTGGTCCCCATGGCTGGTGGTGGCTTTATGCACCATCCGCTCAGCAAGCAGTCTTTTCAGCCGCATGTAATCATCCAAGACTACCTTTAAGAGAGAGGCCTGGAAGGAGGGAGGGAATGGGCAATGGGAGACATTATACTGGACCCTTTTTGATGGATCCTGAAACTAAGCAGGTTAGGGAATCCCCATGAGAAGTTACAGTAAAGTCAAATGGGTATTTCCTCTTATATTTAAAAAAATGGGGGAAACAATTATCTGAAGACCACCTCAGATTCAGAAGAAATGCTTTTCAATTGTGCTTTCTGAGTAGACACCCAAATCAATTATTTCCAAAGACTGGAGAGAAGACTAAAGATGATGTTGGGAAGCTGAATGACATCCAGAGTTCTATTCTTAGAAGAAGTATGGTGTCAAAGAGTCCATTTTTTAAAAAATCTATTTTTGTGACTCAAGCAAAAGTCTCTTACAACCTACATGGCAACAGATGGTATTTGCTGGAAAGCTGCAGATTACTAAGTCAAGATCATTGATGGCATAGGTACTCACCTTGATAGGCCCTTCTCTCATGATCTGGCCTAGCTTTGCAATATTATCATATTCCTGGATAGCTGCCCTCAGATAGCGATCTTCTTCAGGCTTGGAAGCTGAAGGACCTCGTCCAAAGGTTCCCTAAAAAGAAGAAACTTAGAACAATTTCTGTGGCCTCAAGTGGCCTGAAGGAAAGATCATGTTACAAACTTTTATGTAAATCACTTTTGTTTTCTAGTGGTCAACTTTCTTGGCCAAACCTAAGTATTAAGTAGACCTGCAAAAAGCTGAATAAAAATACAGTAAAAATAACAGAGGGCATATAGTCTTTGCTTTTCCCCAGCAAATTTAGCACCATACCACTTCACAATCGAGTTTATTATCTCCAGCCTTATCAATCTGAAGATCTAAAGCTACCATCCCAGTTACTGAGCTAAAAAAACCTCTGCCTCAGTTACCAAGACTTAGGCTTACAAAAATTATAACAAATACTGTAACTGGGACAGTGAAGTCTAACATGGAAAGACAATTTTAAATTTCATGGGAACATAGAATAATAATAAAAAGCATTTGTTTGCTTCATATTCATGGTCTTCTGTAGCAAGTAGAGTTTTTGCTAAAATGATGAAATGTGCATAATAACACCTTAATGCAAGTTCTGCCCCTTCTGTAGTTGCCTGCAATGATGCAACACAAGTACAAAACAATTGGGAGATGCATTGTGATGCTCCAATGCACATTTTGGCATTTGCTCCTCCTTGTTGCTCACAGACGTTCATGCTTATATTAATCCAATTTTTTCCCACTGACAGAATTAGGTCATTAGGCTGGTTGATTTTTAAACCCTGATACTAAGCAGCTATACTCTCACATGGGTCCTGGCGGGACTATTCCACAAGTCAGTGATTTCACTCAGGTTCTCAGGAAGGTCATCTTCGTGCTCAGCTTGTGCTGCCAATTCCAGATTTCTGCAGAAAGGGTCGAGCCATACAGGGTTCGCTCTGTCAGGGATATATGATGCCTAGAATGAAACTTGAACTGTAGGCAACTTTGAGCATTGGCTAAAAGATCACACTAATAACACAGGACTTTTAAAGAGAATATATAGTATTGTTGAAGGCTTTCACGGCTGGAATACGATGGCTGGCATGGGTCTTCTGGGCTGTGTGGCTGTGTTCTGGAAGTTTTGTTTCCTAACATTTCGCCAGCATCTGTGACTGGCATCTTCAGAGG